AAAAGGCATAGCAGGTGGAAATATTTAATGAAACAGTAAAGTTCTATGGTTGTATGTCTCCCCCCCCCCTTAAGTTCAATAATGTAAAATGACCGTTTCAGTAAGTGATCGCATAGCTTGCTGGTGGGATGTCATGACAAGTCTTCAGGCTATGAATGAAACAACAGTCAAATGAAGCAGCTTTGCAAAGTGACACTTGACTGTTCTGTCCCTTTACTCAGCTTTGTTCAGGATAACGCTTCCTTGTACATGAGGCAAATCAATACTTTCTTTTTATCTCAGCAAGAAAGGTTTCATTTTCAAGATGACGCAAGGCTTGGACACTGTAATGCAGTAGCAGAAGTGATCGTGAACGACGGTCATAGATGCTGTAAATATATTGTGAGTGGGATGGGGCTGGGTGTGGTCAGGCATAGTGACTGTAGGGCTGATGCCCAGAGGAAGTTAGGTGGTGGGTGAGGCTCCATGCACCTGAAAGGATGAGTGGGAAACTCAGCTCCCTTATTGCTGTTGAGGACTCGTGTTACATGTGTCCAGTGGTGGTCTGCCTTTGGACAGTTAACTCCACTCCTTCAGGTTCTCTCAGTTGTCCCCAACCCCAGCTCCTCCTCTGCTTCCAGCCACCCCCAGCTGCTGCACACCATGACTTTAGGGGTGCAGTCCAATAACTGAACCCCACCCCCATTGATTAGGGTCCGATCATCCTGGCTCTTAACTCCATCCTCTCCGTTTCAAGGGTATGCCATCTCTTGGGACCACAACCACAAAGGCTAACCAGCCTCGACCCACAGTCGAAGTGCCTGGACAAAGTCTTGCCCCACAGGTTTGCCACCCTGGTTTGTGCTGTCCCCTACCTTATTGTGCAGCCCCTCTCCTCCAGGGGGTGGACTTCCCTAACCTGGGAGGGTGACCCCTGCTCTCCCCCAGGGTTCACAATTGTTCTGTTATAAGCAACAAGGCAGTAGTATTCTCGCCTAATAAAATCTAGGGTTTCCTAATTATACTGAAGTATGGCATATGAAAACTTTACAAAAGTAAAAAAATCCAGTTTCTGTAGTATGGAAAAGTCTGTCTTAGAACTGAGCAGAGAAGTCTTAGCTTCTTAAAAATTGCTTCATGTGATTACAGCTATGCTGCAAATGCCATTTCACTATTGGGAAGGGCTTTAAAAATGTACCTCACTTTATTTGTGCTTCAGGTCAGATTAACTAAAATGGTTATTGTGTCACCTGGAAACTCCTGACTGCTTCAAGACCAGACTTTAAAAACCTATATATTATTATTAAAAAGGCCAGCAGCAACAAAGACCATTTTACAATTTCAGAGACGTTTTCATAGCAATTTGATCTTTACGCAGGTTTTAAAAAAATCTTTGTACTTGGAGCAGATGGGGAAAATCGAAGAATGGGAAAATAGGCTTGAAATGCTTTCTGGCTGGCTTCTGATCTTCTTTCAGAAAAAATATAGAGTAATGCTTATACAAGTCTGATGCCCCACTAAGTTTTAGAAGTTTTGTTTTCTAGTTGAGACAGAAGTACCTTTCCTATCATGTAAGCAGTTTTAAAAGACTTCAACACTCAAGCCAGTTAAAGGACTGGTTTATACATGCCTGATTATCATTTAATGACTGGTAGTGATTACCTGCATGTGTGAACAAGCCACAACAGCCCTAACATCTCAGGACTCCGGAATCCAGATGTCTCTTCCAGGGCGATATTACTTAGTAGAGTTGGTTCATTCATAGCATCACGTTCTCACATATGTGTTCATGGGTGACTTTGATGAGATTTAGTCTCACAATGAGCTCAGTGGACAAATCATTCTTTATTTAGACCTTGCCTTTCTCCCCAATGAGGACCCAAAGTGGCTTATATAATCCTCTTCTCCATTTTATTTTAGAAGTGGTAAGTGTTTTGCTTACTTATTGTAACCTGTTACAAATCAGAGCCAGGATCTGAATTTATGCTGTCGATCCAAGGGCAATTTCTGCCTGTAGAAGGAAAACACAACTTTTTAATTTGCCCCTGGTGGGGGGGCTCATCCCTCAAAAACAGTATTTTGGAGACTTCCGGGTCAACGGAGCAATGACACGGGTGCGCCTCGGGACGTGCCCAAGCTCACTCGTCCTTTTTTGCTTTTTTTTTTTTTTTTAAGTTCCCCGGTCTGTGCGACCTTGCGGGGACTCACCCAAGCTCTCGGAGGGAGCTTGGGCAGCAAGAGACTTTTTCAGCCACCCCACGGACGGCGGTTTGCGGCGGTGAGAGTGATTTGTCTCGATGCAGAAGCAGGAAATGGAGCAGAACATGGCCGTCATGTTCTGCATAGTTGTGACCACCCGTTTTAGAGACTTTTTGGATATTTAACATAACATAGCTTTGAGCATGAAAAAGGAAGAATTGAGCACTTCAAGCAAAAAAATAAAATAAAATTTGCAATTAAATACCCCAACATTGAAATACCCAAAATTTGAAAGGAAAGCGGCTGAAAACAAAATGGGGCTAAAGATTGGTTAAAACATGGCAGGGGTAAGAAAACTAATATTGTTTCTTTTAAAATACTGCTGATTAAAGATAATCACATTAAAATACTTCGGTTACATGACCCAGGAATTTTATTAAGCATTGTGGTAGAGAAGATAAGTAAATAAGAAAATGGCTTCAGTAATGAATAATGAAGAGACAGAAATTGGGGAGTTGACAGAGTTTGGAGACCTGTCTTGGGAACAGTTCCAGAGGATATTAGTGGAGGAGATTCAGCAAGCTGTGAAACAGCATTTAAAAACCTTATGGTCAAACCTCAGAGCTCTTCCTTGGAGCTGGACAATGAGAAAGAAACAGAGTTCTCTCAGCAGAACTCTGAGGAGCAACAGGTTTTATATCAGGACGAAGGGTTAAAGGATATGTTACTTTTTATATATGGAGAATGAGGAGAGGAAAAGCAACCAAATGTGTAAATGGGAAGAAACAGTAAGCTCTGCGGTGGAGTTGGAAGTAGTGAAAGGAGTCCCTCAGGACTCAGCACATTAAAAAAATGATCACGTTGGATAACCCCCCCAAAAAAATATTGTGTTAAGAGAATCTATAAGACCAACAAATATTCAAAGATGAAACTGCTGAAATACAGAAGGAAGAAACTAGAAATGAGAATTTCCAAACACAAAGCCAAGAAATTAGAAATGAGGATTTACAAATAGAAAGCCAAACTAGGCTTGTGGAAATACAAACGGGAGAAGCTAAAAATAAGGACTCGTGTATAAAGACGAAAGACATCTGGACATGATAGTAAAAAAAAGTGCAAAGGAAAAATAGGGGATAGAAAATGTGTACAAATCAGAGGTCATTTCGGGGGGGATCGCGGGGGATCGCAGTTCCCCCGGGTGAGGTATGGGGGCGGGGCACAAGACGAAGCCCCGCCCCCTGCTTCCGGCCCTCATTCAGCCAGGAGGAGGCAGGAGAAGAGGGAGGGTAAGTTGCTTCCTCCCTGCCTCTCCCCACCCCTGCCTGCCTGGAGCCAGGGAGGGCCTTCACAGGGCTTCCTTGCACTCCCGCCGGCCTTGCAGGTCCACCGCCGGGCCCCTCATGGGGCTCGGCAGTGGAGCTGCAAGGCCGGTGGTGGCGGCCGGGATCGTTGGGGGCGGGGTGTGTGGCCTTATGACACACTTCCGGTGATGTCAGGGGGTGTGGCATATGCTAATGAGTTCCTCTAGCTCTTTTTCTACGAAACGACCCCTGGTAAGAATGATAATTGGTGCTTTAAATTATCCCCTTGTTGTCTACACTTTCACTTCAGTATATGCTTCATAACTTATGAGACTAAGATAATGAGAAGTTGGATGTTAGCTATGATTAATTGAGATGATTATATTGAAAGTCTTAGAACATTAAGATGAGAATTTTGGGTTAAGTTAAAAGTGCACCTTCCTTTATGTCTTATTTTTTTAATAATATACATAACATGAAAGAATGGAATGGTATTATGTATATTTACAGTAATAAGTAGGTAAGTTAATTGTTTTGTGATTGCAAAGTTTTTGCCTCCTCTCATAATCCCTAAGATTAAAGTAATTGATAATAGATAAAAATGGGAAAATATTATATAATAACTCTAATATTATTTTGATTTCCCCAAATGAATATTTTTATTTAGTGACTTAAGTTGTGGCTAGCTATGTTAAAAGTGGTTACTGGCAAATATTAAAGAAAACATTTATAAAGGGAACATTTATAGCAAAAATATACATATATTGGTAAAAATGTTATACATAAATAGGCTGGTAATCCTGATAACTCATTTACATATTTGTTAGATTAGTCGAATATACTTAATAGTTATGTCAAGTAGGAAAGAGGAAAGCAAATCTGGCTGGGAAAGTAAATTGTGCGTTATGTTTGAATTGTGAAAAGGGTGTGCAAAGTAGAATTGGTCTATATAGGAATAGTGAAAAATAAACTGGAACTCTGTAAAATGTTTATTTTGTTAAAGTTTTGAAATAGCTTGAAACAGGAATTGAGCAACTGTGAGTATAGGAGGAAATCATAACAAAGGTGCTATGTTACGTATGATTTATTTTTTGTTAAGTTTACAACATTTTGTTGTCTCTTTTTATGTTGGAAAATCAATAAATAGATTATTTAAAAAACCCACAGTATTTTGGGGCACACACCAAAGCAGGAGAAGATGGGGGAAGAAAGCTCAGTTTTGCTAATGGAAGCTCTTCATGTTAGCAGCAACAGACCTTGGGACACAATGCATTGTTCTTAAATCGTACTGAAATGCATTGTTGTAATGCCACTAACTCCACATTGCAAAGAACCACAATATTGTATGAGCTAATAGGCCAGGTTTGAATGTGATAAATTCTAAATTGTTCCTTTGTTTAAAATTTGCTGACTTTGTGTAAACGGCAGGCCAGGGGCTGATGGCTTGAGTCCAGCTGAAGCTTTCAAGGCACTATAATCTGACTTTAATTCATACCTTCCTCTTTTTTTCTTTACAATTAGATGCAGGAATTAGAACTGGCACAAATGCAAAAAAGGGAGGCTAATCTCGCAGCTCTGGCAGCCATTGGGCCAAGAAAAAAGAGACCATTGGATTCATCTAGTCCTACATCTGGAGTTGAGGTACATACAAAGATATAGCGGCTTGCTTCTGGATCTTTTAGCTGATTAATATTTCTGCATTGTAAAATGTCATCTATTACAGGGTGTTTCATACAGCTGAATGTGTTTATCAGTTTTATAGATGGAGAACTCTCTGTAGTTTGGGCAACAATGACTGAACTCCAGCAGCTAAACACAGTGGGAGTGATTTTTCTTTTGCTTCTCCTACAAGTGTTACTACACATGTCTTTTCTGCTGTGGTGACATAGCAGTCATGATGTCACAGTTTCTGACATCTAAGTCACAGGTCCCTTCTGCCATCCACTGTTTTCTCTCAACATTTCAAAGCCTTTTTGCTTTCCAGGAACTTTTCTTATGCACACCATTTCCAATAGTATATAAGAACTTCTGTTCTCAGCAAAACCTTCCCCACCCCTTTCCATTATATGATGCTTGAAAAGGTCCTGGGTTTCCTTCAACTCTGAAGTATTCCTTCTGCTTAATGAGGTCTCTTCCTGAGCTTAAGTAGCAAAAAAAAATTTAAATCGAAATATGTAAGAGTGATCTTTCAACAGCAAATACCTTCTACTCAAGAGCCAGTTTGGTGTAGTGGTTAAGTGTGCGGACTCTAATCCGGGAGAACCGGGTTTGATTCCCCACTCCTCCACTTGCACCTGCTGATGTGACCTTGGGTCAGTCACAAGCTCTGGCACAGCTGTCCTTGGAAAAGAGCAGTTTGTGTCAGAGTTCTCTCAGCCCCACCCACCTCACAGGGTGTCTGTTGTGGGGAGGGGAAGGGAAAGGAGTTTGTAAGCCGCTCTGAGACTCCAAGTGAAGGGCGGGGTATAAATCCAATCTCCTCTTCTTCTCCTTCTTCTACTTCACTATAATATTACCAAGCCAGGTTTTATAGTGCTTATATATCCAGCTCATTCATCTTCATTCAAGCTTCCCCAACCTTTTTTTTTGCCTGTGGGCACTTTGGAATTTTGACATGTCATGATGGGCAGTGCCACAAAATAGCTGCTGCAGCCAATGTTCCCTCTAAGCTGTGGAGTCTTGTGAGCAGGAATTCTACTTTGTGAGCTGCTGGCATTAAAGTTGTGAGCGAGCCATTTGGCTCCTGCATCAATTAGTTTGCTCTGGAGCCCTCCTTCCTGAGCTAAGGCAAAGATGTGTGAGCCGGAGGCTAAAAAACTGTGAGCTAGCTCACACTAACTCAGCTTAGAGGGAACACTGGCTGCAGCTTATCTTCATTCATTCAGTGACAATCCTTGTACTTTAATGGTAGGTGCTGCCAAAGCAGTGTTTTTAAATTTTACAGTCAATCTAAATCTCCAGCAGCCAATTAGAAGCCTTGCTGGGCAAAAGTCCCACCTGGCCCCAGCCACTTTCTCGAAATACTTGACGGGCACCCGAAAATGGGTTGGCAGGTGTCATGGGGCCCATGGGCACCATGTTGGAGACCCTCTCTTAATTCTTTGTCATAGTACAGCAGTGCTATTAACATCTGTGACAGATGCTTATGAACAAGAGAAAGGGGGCTACATGCTTGGGTGGGGAGAAATCTGTGAATGCACATGAAAGAGTAGTCTGGTGGCTGAGTAGGGAGTTGCCAAGTACTAAGTCAGTTAAACTTAACTTCACTTTTTAAAAAAAGCTTCTAAAGTTTGTCATTTCTCATAAGCAACCTGAGAAGCTAAATGGATCATATCTACTACACAGTTTGGATTTCTGGTGTGGGCATTGTGGTGATAGTAGCAGCAACTCTTGCTTTTCAATCTTTGCAGGAGAAATTGAAAGTCTGTAGTTTGGCAGTCTCCACAACGCATCTGTGCATTGTGGGGACAGTCTGTGTACATATAGACTCTTAAGATTCGCAGATTACTGTTTAGACTACTTCAGACTTCACTTCCAACATCCTTACTTTTTTTAGTGGTCAGTACGATCTTATTTGAAGTCAAAGAACAGAAATTGCAATAAATTTTAACCTCACTGAACATTCCTAATTCAATTTTACCCGGAGAGTTGCTTCATTTCAGGCAGATAGGCTGTGGATTCTTTCTAGGCAGTACAAATCCGATGTAAAGAGCAAATCACCAGCAGCAGGAAACTTCAGTAATATATTTTGAGCTAGACCATGGAAGCAGGAAAGGGAAATGAGAATGGCTTGGGCTTTCCCTACTTCTTTGAGCTTCCATTCAGATACAGTTTGGAATGTGCAAATAATGTAGGCTGTGTAGGGCATGTGAACTCTGGCTAGGATATCCTGCTTCTCAGAGTACTGATGCTGAGGGAATCTGCTTGACTGACCATAATAGCAAATTATCAACATGTGGGAGTATTAACTTGCCTTTGAGCTTGGGTGTGTCCCTTGAAATTTTAATAAATTAGTGGCTGTCTTCTTGCTGCATGTAGAATGCACTTTTATCTACCTTAATTACTACTAAAAGACTTTAAATCATGAGCATGATAGAAGAACTTTCCCAGGTCCCTCCCTTTACCATTAAGCTCTCATTAGTTAAATCATGGCATTCAGTACTAAGGAGGCAAAGACTGCAGGAAAAAAGGTAGTAATTATTTCTAGCTTTTACTTTTTATATAATTCTAGAGGCTACATAATGGTTGCCTCTTGGACATCTTCTTGCTGTTGCTGATGTGACTCTGACCTTATTGAACACTTGTGCCGTAGTCGTACGTAGCATTAAAGGTGCCAAGTACTCATGGCAGAGGAGCATTTGAATAATCAGAACAAAAGAAGAGAATAGAAGAGGAGGAGATTGGATTTATACCCCGCCCTTCACTAGGAGCCTCAAGAGTGGCTTACCATCTCCTTTCCCTCCCCCTCCCCACAACAGACTCCCTATAAGCTCTGTGAGTTCAACATTTTGTGCTGTATAAATGGTAGCACCATTAAGGCATGCAGGTTTGTGTGTGTGTATTGCTTTATAGGCAAAATTATAAGAATGTATAGATTGATGACTTGCTTTTGAATTCCAAGACTCTACAGGCCATTTCACGCCATAGCAGAAGTTTTGTCTCTGGTTGCAGCTTCCTGTTGAGCACTTACACAATAATTGCTCCCCAACAATCATTACCTGTGAAGTGAAAAGACCAAATTAATAAATTATTAGGTGTCCAACTGCAGAATCCCTGTGCTTTCACCTAAAAACACGTGAAATAGCCCTACTTTGAACCCATACGTGAGTCTGGGAAACTTAGTTGTAAAATAGGTTCAGGTGGGTGGCCATGTTGGACTGAAGTAATAGAACAAAGTTTGAGTCCAGTGGCACCTTTAAAGCCAACAAAAGTTTAATTCTGGGTATACGCTTTCATGTGCACACTTGGTATCTCAAGAAGTGTGCAGGCACATGAAAGTTTATACTCAGAATTTACCTTTGTTGGTCTTAAAGGTTGAGCACTGGACTCAAACTTTGTTCTATCGGTTGTAAAATGTTCAGGTGTGAATCAGTCTCCTTTCTTGAGCATAGTTTCTCCACTAATATTTGAGGAAAGGAATAACTTCACGCCCTCTAACACACATGCATGAAAGGATATATTTACTGACGATTTGTGGAATGCTCCCCTTCAGGTACTCACAGCTCCAGTTGTGAAGTGCTTGTCATGCAGCCTGCCTTCACGCAGTGCACCAATCTGCTGGAGCTTCCAAGGTTTCTCTTGAGGCTGTTGCTCTCTGTGCTACAGGCCACAGAAGAGTCAGGTAGAAACTATTTCTAGCTAATGTAATAGAGGGTATGTAACAGTTACATCATGGGTATGTTCTCATTGTTTATGTGTCTCCTGAAGCTTAGATCTTAAGAGGTGCAAAAAGGTCTGCCAATTGCGATTTATTTCAGTGTGTCCCCATCCTATGTACATAGACTTCCCTTGGGAATGGGTAAAGTTTACTTCCGATGTAATTCATGCACATCCTTTCTCTCCATGGTGAGAGGCTCCCATTTGCAGCAGACGTTGTGCTCCAGCAGCTTGCGTTAAAATCATGGTTCCCAGCATGAGAGTGAGTGATGGTGTGGTGTGTGTGTGTGTTGTAAATGGATCTGAAGGCATACAAATAGTGTATGTGTTAAAAGTACTGTGAATACAGGTTATTTGATTTAGAGAATACTATCTTGGAAACACTTCTTTTAAAAAAGAGTCAGAATGCTTTCAGGTCATGTATAACAAGGAAAAAAGTAAACAATGTTCTGTTCTTCAGAGATGAAAGTATGGCCTTGAAATGGAAGAATATGGCTTTAGGCCCCTATACACCATGAATCACCAAAAGCTTATTTTCAGGAAAACTGACTGATTTAAATATGTAGCATTGAATCACTTCATTGCAAGGGTGCATGTATCTAAAGCTGATAAATAAATATTGCAGCTAAAACAGTTTTCACAAATATCTGTCTATTACCACATATTGATCTTCGGTCAGAAAGGACAGTCTAGTATGTACAAATCTTATTACCATGCCGGCTAAGAGGAAATGCTGAGATCGCTAAGAGATTACTAGGTATAGTCGCTGTTTTTCACATTGGGTCTTCTGGGTTTTAAGTTACTGTGGCTTTAAAGATGATGATGGTTGGGCGAACTTCTGAAGCTCTTTATTTGTAGCATGCTACTGTGATTCTTCCCTACCAGCTCTGAATTGATCATTAACGTGGCCTGAAGCACAGCCTTGGAACCAGTCTATATAGCTAGCCTATGGTTAGAAGTTCCAGTGCCATCAAAAGTCTTGGGGTAGCTGATGTCAAACTGGGCTGAGTTGAACCATGGGTTCAAGAAGGTCCCTCGAGCCTTCTCTGTACTGTTTCGGAGCAAAGAGTCATGTGGCTAATGGTACCAAATAGAGCATTGTGGCATTTATGGCGTTGATAAGAAGCTATACATCTTTTAATGTTGCTGTTTGTGTGGTCCTGCATGAATTTTTAACTGCCCAATAACCTATTGCATATTGAGGTTTCTTTAGTAAAACACTGCCTAGTAAGGTGATCCTCAACAACGTATTTCAAAAAACAGCA